TATTATTATTATTATTATTATTATAGTTATTATTGTTATTGTCATCGTTGTTATTATTGTTATTACTATTATTATTGTTGTTGTTGTTATTATTGTTGTTGTACTATTGTCGTTTATAATTTGTACAATTAACCTCCTTGTGGTTTGACCCCGGTCTTGCTGGGTTATTTATTACTTCGACACTCCTGCACTTGGGAGAAGACATCAATCTTTTAGTCATGTCAGTCGACATGGTTTAACTCGTATTGACCTGGTGGACTCGATTTTGATCGAAAGATGCGGTTGACTCGAGAAAATATATTTTACTTTTTTTTTATTATTACTTTTTTTTGTTATGAATAATCAAATAAAATAACATTAAAAAATCTTAGTGAATCCAAAATTAGGTTACAACAATAGAATTCCTTGGTCTATTTTCCATAATTGAAAAAGGTGGTAATTTGATGTATGAATATGAATACTTGTAATTGTTTTTTTTTTTTGGCTTTAAAGACTTTTAAATACTTAAATAAATGTTTTTATAAAAAAATATAATAAATAATATATTAAAAAATATTAAATTTTAAGAACAATATCACTGTTTCTTTTAATATATGATAAATGCTTTCTAAGATAAAATGATATTATATGTGTATGTTTAAAATGAGAAAATTATAAACATTTTCCTTATATGGTTTACTACGATTTATAACCGTGAAATTTATTTTTTATGACTAATAAATTATTCTATTTTAATAATATCAAAGTCTTGTTTATTTTTGTATTTTAAAAATATTTATTTTTTATTTTAAATTATTATTTTTTATATTTTTTAATTATTTTAATGTTATTATATCAAAAATAATTTTTTTTTTAAAAAAATATTATTTTAATATATTGTTTTAATAAAAACACACTTTAAAAATAATTACAACTACGTTTCTAAAAAAATAAAATTTCATTACATATGTGTTAACAAAAAAAATATTTTTATATTAATATTAATATTAAATAAATATACCTTATATATATTAATAAAACAAAAATATAATAGTTGATAAAAAAAATTTATACAAATTAAAAATGTATATAAAATACAATCCTGGCTAAAAATTCTGGGTCAGTAAAAATTTGAGCTGAGGCGGCGCGCAAAAGAAAAAGAGGCGTCAGGACATGTGAATAGAGCTGGGCCTGAAAAAAAAAATCCAAACTGTATTTAACAAATCAAACACGATGTCACAGTTTGGGCAAAAACGAAAGAAGAAAAAAATTTGACGATGATGATGCTTATCTCAAAGTGGTCCCCAGCCATTTAAAGAGCTCCACCACCACCACACCCTCTCCATCACCCCTCTCTTCCCTTCCACACCCCGCCCCTAATCGCTCCATTTCACCCGTAATCCTCACCCTCTCTCTCTATATGGCTTCTATTTCACCACCATCTCCATACAAACTCACCTTCACAACCAGGAAAAGACTTCCATACCCCTCTCCAAAACCACAATTCCGTTCTCGCTACCCTCTCTCTAGGCTTCTTTCTGATTCCACTCTGTGTCGCTGCACTGACTCTTCAAATAATCCTTCGATTCAGTGGCGATGGGACGCTGCGTTGCAAGCTGTGTTTAAGAATGCGATTAAGAGTTTCGATTCGTATATGAATCCGACTAAGAAGGGAGTTGGCAATAAAGGTGTTAGGGAGGGAGAAACTGGAGAGGAAGAGGACGAGGAAGATGGAACTGTGTGGGATTGGGATCGCTGGAGATTGCATTTTGATCAAGTTGATGAACAACAACGCCTTGTTTCCCTTTTGAAGGTAAAATTGGTGTGGGAAATCATTTTTTTTTTGCGATTTTGGTTTATATTTTGGATTGGGAAATTGAAATTTTATGTTCTTTATGTTTTTAATCAATTAGCTGCATTTATTGCATGTGTGGAAAGATGGGGTTTGAGGGTGGGAAGTCTAATTTTTTATGATTTTTTTTGGAACTATAATTTCCTGTGTGTTGAGTGTGCATGCTTGCTTTAGTTTTTTTCTGGTGAATTATGGTTGAGAAGTGTGAAAAAAATTGAAATTTTGAGATTAGGAAGTGGAGAAGTGCGAAAAGATTGGAAATTTGGGATTAGGAAGTGAAGCGTTGCTTTTTTCTCCAGCGTTACAGTTTATTCTTGAACTGGGAAAATTGGAACTTTGTGTTCATCAGCTGGGTTTTGAAAGTAAATTTTGAATGACTTGTTGTATTGCATGTGTTATTGTTTTTATGGGTGGAATTGTGGTTATAAATTGTCAAAAAAGATGGGAAATTTGAGACTGGGGCAGTTTGTTGGCTTTTTTGTTTGGGAAATTTGTGCCTGCTGGAAAAGTTGATGCTTCATGCTTCTTGCTTGGACTGTATCAGAAGGGACTGGTACTGCAGGCAATAAAAATACACAGCTTGGTAGTTTTATTGATTTGTGTGATTGGCAAACAAAACGGAATGGAGGAAAGAGTGCAACTTTATATAAATTAAGGGTTTTCTATTAAATGCTGAAACCTTTCGCCTGCCCCACTCTCTCTTGCAGTCACAGTTAGGCAACGCTGTTAACAGAGAGGATTATGAAGATGCTGCTAGGCTTAAAGTGGCAATTGCAGCTGCAGCTTCAAATGATACTGTTGGCAGAGTGATGTCACAGCTGAATGTGCGTAATTTGACTAGCAAGTATGGTTTTCCTAAGGGATAAAATGATTAAATTTTTTCAGTCTTGTTGTTTTTATTCCTTTTTCCTTTTTTTGGCTGATTCAGAGAGCATTAGCACAAGAGCGTTACCTGGAGGCAGCTTTTTTACGAGATAATGCTGGTGCTGGATTGGTAAGTTCAAACAAATTCTTTTTCACTTGATCAATGTACACGCACAATTTCTAATTTATGAAATATTTTCATTTTTGTAAGTGCAATAACTGCTGTACATTGCATTGGGCCTTGTCAGGCTACATAAACATTGCTGAATATTTCAGAAAACTTTGTGATACTTGCTAGAGTGGCATCTTCATGTTTTTGGTTCCCTTTTTCTGTAGGTGTGAAGTGTTTGGTTCCTTAACGGCTATTCTGTTTTGTTTATAGGATTCTTATTGTAACCTTCCATTTTCTGGAAATAAGCAGCAAATTATTCTGAGTTTCAAGGGATTTTCTGCTTAGGCATTTAAATATGTAACTTTGTTGCTACCTATCAAGTCCCTGTTTCAAAATTTCCCTTTACCTTGTGCTGGGTTTCAGGTGGGATGGTGGTCTGGAGTTTCTGAAGATGTTGATGATCCTTATGGTCTGATTATACGTATAACCGCAGAGCATGGAAGATATGTAGCAAGGAGTTACAGTCCACGGTAATTATTCACATGCTTGTTAGAGGGTTTCACTTTAATTTCACATTCATATTAAAAGTGGAAAGCCTGGCAGGCTATTTTTGGGGTTTTTTTTTTTTCACTGAAGTCTTGTTGATAAATAATTTCCCTGTTTCAGCTAATGTCTCCATACTGTTAGGTTTTGGTGGTTTCAAGTCACAGTTATCGGTTTTGTGTTACATGATTTGGTTAATTCCATCATATGTCCTGATTGTAGCTTGACAAGAAAAGTGAAATAAAATCATATAATTATCAAATAACAACCTAACAACTAAGTTATCAACAGTTTGTTGTATGCTGAGAACACTTCAGGAAACTTGCATCTTTTATGCAGTGCTTGGCAAGTGCTTTTTATGTAGTGAATATATTTATTGTTGATGCCTTGAAAAAAATACTGTTAACATATCTGGTTCCATGTCTTGTCATCGCTGATAGAAGAGATTGATGAGAACAAATACAAATGGGCATACACATGGCTAAATGGGAAAGCTATAATGTAGGTAGATCAATTTATATGATGTTATTTTTTTCTTTTAAAAAATCTTTTAGTCTTCTATTATTAGCCTGGATTTCTGTGTTTTTATCGACATGCACGTCCAGAAGTTATCAGTGGTGAGGAAAATTCACTTTGTAAGCTTGTGGCTGGCCACTTTTTTAAAGTTTATCAAGGTCCTGATCTTTGCAAGCCTGGTTAGGCATGGACCAGATTGGTTGAGGAGCATGTACTCTTTTTTCATTTACTCTTTCTCATACCCTGATGGAAAATCTTTCAGGGCATGTCATTAATGACGTGAATGGATAACTTGTTAATTGGAAATGGAATATGGAAAATTGAGTTTGCATATCAACTTGAGAACAGTAATCAAGGACAACCACCCTGAAAATAATAGAAGAGATGATTTAGACAATAATGATGCATGCCTTCTTAACAGGCTGTATTACTGAAACCTTATGATATGTGGCAATTCTATTAAACAATATGCTATGTGGTGTATTGCAGGCACTCTTTAGACTTTAGGTGTCAAAGTATTATGTTCTAGTGCAATTGATTATAGATTTCCTTTTGTGCTAGCTATTTGTCTCAAGATATTTATGTGATGTTTTAGTTGAAATGTATGCACATTTTAAATGCCAGAGAATGTGGCTGACGCATGCTGCATGTTTGGAATCTTTTTTCATGTAGCAAGCCTGTGACAAGCCCTGCTGCTCTGCACGTGCAATTGCTTCCTGTCAATTGTTCCTTGTTTTGGAGGTTTATTGTTAACTTATCTTTTCTTTCAGACAGCTTGCTACAGCTGCAGTGGGGGTACCCCTTTTTGAGATCTTTCTTACAACGAATAAGAAAGGGGAATACAATGAACAGGTATCCTATTTCTGTTCTTTTATTTTTTTTTGAGTTGTGTACCTTGTGCAATGAACTCAGGCTTTGACTTGGTGCTTGGAGATTATTTTGATTTCTTGTACTTTGCAAAATCTTAGTCATCAAAATTGAAGAGTTACCCCTGGAAAAAAGAAAAGAAATTGTGCTTAGTTCCTTGTTTTAGAGTTTACCCTTTATTATGGTTTATAATTAATGTTTTACATTGCAAAGCTTTGGCTGGTTTATTTATTGTTGACATAATGTTATAGTTGAGAATGTGAATTTCTAACCTTTAGAGCTTCAAGTGCTTCACCAAGAAGCTATTTTTTTTTTTTATTATTTCCAAAATCTCCTTGTCTGTCATCTTCATTCTGCAGGGCTCCCTGGCCTTAAAATATAGCTAGCTAATTATGTGGTTGAATCATTAGCATGCTTTCTTTTTCAAAAAATAATGACTGAGTGCTTGCATGTAAGCAAGGATAGATGCTGCTTGATGATTAATGTGCATGCATATATTTGTAGGTGCATTTGATATGCATTTTAAGTGTGTTGCAGTCACACATCTACATTCCATGTGCAGGAGCAGTTAGATAATAGTGTCTGATGGGGTTTGTTTAATTTTGTAGGCTGTGTATTTGAAGAGGAAAGGACTTTTCCAAGATCCTTCTACCTTGCCCTCTAAAGCTTCGGGTGCCACCAGTCGCTTGAATCCACCAGGGCCAACTGAAGATAAAAGTGACCTATTTGTTGTGAGTACTGAGGAGGTAGATGATGCTGATGACACAGAAGATGGTTCTGATCTAGCTGAGGGACTGCCTGGCTTTCAGAACATTTTGAGAGATATGGTTCCTGGTGTGAAGGTCAAGGTTTTGAAAGTGACAACACCAGCAAAGGTGGACAAGGATTTTATATCTAAGGTGATAGAGCAAATAATCGATGAAGAAGATGATGAGAAGGATATTGAGTTAGAAAGTGAGGAAGCAGAAGATGATGGCAAAGGTGAAAGTGACCTGGAAAGAGATGAAATTGAAATGGATGCTGGTCGTGGGATCATTGATGATGAAAATCAAAGTGAAATTGCAGTTAAAGTTGTTGTTGGGGGTCTTGCACAGAAACTTTCAGGGAGCATTCCTGCAAAAGGCTCAATTAGAGTACCAGCTAAGCTAGACAGAAAGGGACGCAAGTCATTTTCCTTTTCTATAGAGAAAGAAGTAAACCAACAAAATGCCAAGGAACTGGCTTCAGCGGACAGAAAAGCTAAGCTTCGAGGTCAACGCAGTGTGGACCATGTAATGTTTGATCTAGCCAAATTCATTGGTAGTGAGAAGATACCCTTGAAGGTTGGTTCATTGTCTAAGGTCATATCTCTGTACAGGTTGAGTAGGAGATCAACTCACCATTTGCTTTTAATTGTTTGTTTTATTCTTGAAGTACAGGTGCTGAAAGATGTTGGTGAACTAATAAATCTTACCCTCAGCCAGGCTCAAAACCGTCAACCACTGTCGGGATCAACAACTTTTCATCGAATTGAGATATCAACATCTCCTGATCCTTTAAATGGTGATTTGTTACACAGGCTGTTAAATTCTGAGCTACTATGGCTCTAGGAGATGCTACTAAGTTTCAGCTTATCATCGTCTTGTTTGTAATGGTTTAGGAATCTTCTCAGCACTTTGTTATATTTGGTTCCCTAAGCCAAAGTTTGATTCTGAGCATAATACTGAATTAATTTTGTCAGGACTATATATTGGTGCACATGGGCTGTACACCTCAGAAGTCATACACCTGCAACGTAAATTTGGTCAGTGGCAAGAAGATCATGGGACTAAGGAGTCATCTAATCTAGAGTTCTATGAATATGTGGAAGCTGTTAAATTAACTGGAGATCCTTATGTACCTGCTGGACAGGTACCTTTATCTGTCTCGTACTTGCATTGTGATACCTAGATAGGATTCTTGCGTCATATTATATGGTTTGCCTTTGAGCATAACGTGTATTTTTGTTTGTGGTAATGTAGATTTTGTTGTACAACTTATATGTCAACAATTTCCTTGGGCAAACCTTCTTCAGCCACATGATGCTTACAAGTTTATCTGCATAGTTTTGCTAATTGTAAATGGTTGACCTTCTGTTGCTTAGAAGCTTTGTAATTAAAGTCCTGGATTAATTGTTCCCAAATAAAAAGAGAAGTCATGGATTATTTGCAAGGAAAATTGTTAAAATATCAGTTATAGTCTTGTGGGTGTAGGTTCAGGAATAATATGGTGATTCATTTTGTTGGTACTACACTTCGTGGGACCTTTATATTTGTATCATGGTTGTATGCCTTGATCCTAAAAGCTGTCCTTGTATGGATATCACAGGTGGCATTTCGTGCTAAGGTTGGGAAAAGATATCAGCTCCCCCATAGAGGCATCATTCCTGAAGAATTTGGAGTGGTGTGTTGGTAGCTTGTGAAGTTTGGTGTAGTTAAATCCATTTTTCTCTATTTGCAAAGGCCTATGTGCTTTTTTGATTTCCTATTTGTTGAAGCATTTCTCAAGATCTTATTTCAAACCAGATTGCTCGATATAAAGGACAAGGGAGGCTTGCTGAGCCAGGATTCCGAAATCATCGATGGGTTGATGGTGAACTTGTTATTCTTGATGGAAAGGTTCTCAGATTTTAGACTATCCTGTTTAATTTTTCTTTTTTGCCAAAATTTTTTTTGGTATTTGATTGCCATTCCCAGAAAAGGATCCACAATCCCAGCCTAGTTTGGGATTGACCCTGGGTTGCTGCTGCTGCATCTGATATTTGTTTTCCTTTGAACTATGTTCCATGCTTTTCTTTTTCTAAATAGAATGTTCATGGGGACATTTTTCCTTTCGTTTCTCATTCTTTCTCCATTTTCTTTTCTTGCAGTACATTAAAGGGGGGCCTGTTGTTGGGTTTGTGTACTGGGCTCCTGAATATCACTTCTTGGTGTTCTTCAATCGTCTAAGGCTTCAACAGTAGATGCTCATCGTGTACATTATACTTGAGCTTGCCTATTCTTTCTTCGTATTTGGTTGGGTATGATATTCCTTGTTAAAATAAATCATTTTAGTTTTGGTGAATCTTCCGGAAGATACATAATTAGTTTTTGTTTGCTCTTTTCCTGGATGACTGGTTGATCTTACTGCCTAGCATTCTACTTTTGCATGCTATTGTCAGCTCCAGATATGAGTGATTAGTCCTCATCTTGAAAGCGCTGATCCAATGGCATTGTTCTTTATTACTACTTTGCATGTGCAGTTAGATAACTACTTGAGTCTAGTCAGCTGTGGCTGTTGATTTGGTATAGTCTATGGGAACTGATTACTCTGCTGGAATGTTATGCTGTCCTATGTTGCTTGTATAGGGAGTCATTGTTATTGCAGAAAGTTGGGTTGCTGCATGTGATCAAATTGTTAACGCTACTAACTTCCCTATTTAAGCTCACATCTCCTTTCAACAAGTGTTTCCATGTTTAATTGTCGTTGATGATAACAAAATGTAAGAAAAACATATTGTTTCTTTGGTGATTTGCACTTTAACTGGTGAAATGTCTTGCCGTAAAAGGTTGAACCTGTCAGAGGATGTTCCATAATGCTTTTTTAATGCAGCAATCTGTAAGAAATCTTTTGTTGATCTTTTTTTTTCTTATTTTGCAGTCGTGAATGGCATTTTGCTACCTGTATGTTCTCCACCTTGAGCAGAGGCCTAGAGGCTTAGAAGTCTTTCCCTGTCCAATGCACCATCGCCTGACTATTGCACCTGTAAGCTTATTACTGACTGGAATTAACCCAGAAAGCTTGGAGAGGTGGTAGATGCTCAGCCTTTTTCACTGCATGATTTTGAGGCAATTCTTTCCATCAGCTCATTATGCCTGTGCCAATTTTTGCTATACTGCCTCTCAATTTCGAAGTAGTATTTAGTACTGGTATTAATTATGATGCTACTTCGGTAATGATATTGATAGATGTAGTTGGTATGTGAAAACACAGATGCAGAGACCAGTGTATTCGAGGGTTGTTAATGTTATATTTTCTATAGAAGTTGTTGGACAAGCTTGTTACATTTTGAACGGGCTCATGTGCAATCAAGTGCTTTGTACCGATCTCGTTTTTCACTTAAATAATAAATTAATAAAAATGCGACCTCAACCAGTAAGTTTGTGATTGCGCTCCCCATTCTTTTGCCATGTAAAAGCCTACATGATGCATCAGCTCCTGCTAAAAGAAAAACAAAATCATGATTCATAAGTGGTGACTGATGAGTGGTTTCTTCCGTGTCAATGGAGTGTGATGTCACTATGATGGTTAAATTAGATGTTCATTACCTGGGGACGAGCTAGAGCACCTTCGGTGTTCCTCGCAACATGGTGAGGAACATCAAACGTAGCACAGCCACGGAAATACACTATTACATTCGCCAGAGGGGCAAGAAATCAGCTGGTTTTCTGGCTGATAAAGTTGAACAAACAAAATCCAGCACGTCTCTGCATAGGCCCGCCACCAGTATCTACATCATACCCAAATAAAAAAGTTGCAAACAATCTGTCAAGCTTAATTTTTCTGTTCATTGTGATTAAGCATGCAAGAATGATGGCTATAGGTTCCCATCATCGTGAACTTGTAAGCTAGAATCATGACTTGCAAAGATGGCAACACCACTGACAACAGCAACACCAAAACACTCTACACGAATTGACCTTGACAGAGACTAACGAACCTCAAGCCTCATTTTCGTACAATCAAGTTGTCGTTATGAATTCTTCTTGGCTATTTGTCATAACCATACTAGATGAACAAGCATATGTACATATACTACTCGAGTGCCAGGAAACATATTTTAACGCTCCAACAAAAGGTTCAAACAAAAAACTTAAATTTACTGATGCTGCCTCTTATAGTGTAAGCGGACTCATGTTTGATCCTCTGTTTTTGCTCAACTTCAACTGTCAGCACAGTGCAGCAAATGCCCAATGGAGTTCTTATATAGTTGAAACTGCATCCAACCAAGCAAAAACAGAAACACATTCAGTTCAGCATTCTCAAATATTCAACGCACCAAGCATCAATTGAAACAAAACAAATGATTAAACCAACTCAAAAGTACCCTAGTTATCATCCTGGAGGGTTGAATCCCTCCAGCATGATACTAGGGTACTTTTCCATGTTAAATTTAATGGTCGAAAATGGTAAAAATAAAACACATTGAATAGTGGTTACAATTCAAACAAGATGGCAATAATAGGCATAGGTTTCAATATCTTTGATTTCTATGATGGCTAAAGGACACACAGGACCTTTTCAGCTATGATATTATAAAAAAAGGTGAAATATATGAATGTGGATTTTATTAGCCATGCCTTTGAGCAGGGATAATTGTTTGTCACTTGATTTCAAGACTCTATCCGCCCCATTCCTACTGAAGGACAAGCTTTTCCAGAAGGGGCAAGGAAGGATTCTGAATTCAAAACCTATAATGACATCAGGTGGAGCCAGGTTTGGAAGTGCTAGCCAAAAACATGCCCATTTGACCACATTTGAGATAAATTAGGAATGTGTGTTCGTAGAGACCGACAACATTCTAATTCTCTGATTTATGGACTTGTGAGGCATGGCAGCAGCAGATGCTGTTTTTGAGGGATAGAGGTTGCATGTCAATGACTCCTATTCTGTTCTCCAATCGCCAAAGTTAACAGGCAAGCTTTCAAGAGAATTCCAGTAGCGTGAGCATTGAGACTAGGACCGCGAGTATTGAGACTAAGCCAGCCATGTCAATTCTAGTAGCAGAAGTCACTGAATTAAATAAAAAAGTTTTGGTGACAAACAATATCTCATAAGACACCTACCACCTTGACAGGGAATCCAACTCAATTCTACTATTCAATAAACAAACCCACCTAGCATCCACTACCATAGCCTGTCCCATTTAGAATCAAGGCGCAGGTGGCAGGATTTCTTAGCAGAGGCAGGAGAGGAAGCAGGAGTGGAAACCCACCCCATGACCATCCCTACTTTTAAGCCTTCATGATTTCTGTGAAGCCTTTTAATTCTATAGTTATTATGTCAAACATCCACATGTTGCAGTGGTTTATGCAATCAATATCTTCTCATGTTCCCTGGAAAATGATTTATATATGCTACTTTAATTAAAACGATACAAACTGAATAGATGGCTTAGATGTAATCAAGGCACAGCTTATTTAAGAGAATAGCAAAACTACTGAGTTTTCAATTAAAACCTAGATCAGTTGACATTGTCAATTGTCAACATTTCAATGCAGCACAAAAATCTTGGAAAGTAAATTAAGTAAACAAGGCAGCACAGCATTTATTAGCGATTTTTAATATTGGTAAATATAATCAAAGTGGAAACTCTTCTGTGGGTAGGGGGGGGTATTGGTATCAAACTATGAAAGAACTTAGTTCCTAGTCAATTTGAGCAAACTGCTTATATTAATTTGATAACAAGCACGCGCACATGAAGAAATTCATGAATGGTATCAAAGGCAGGGCACCTGTTCTGCAATCTCTTCACGTTTGTGAACTAGCTTTTGCACTTCAGCCACACCAGATTCTTTTACCATGTTAGTCTTCCAAGTTATAGCATCCACCTGTTAATTAAACCAAAGAAACTTACAAAATATTCAACTACTTCAGATCAATATGAGTTGGTTTAGCATTATATATAGAAGTACCTTTGTTAATACATCTTCAACCTTCCTTTGCCTTGCTCTTAGATCATGCCTCCTGGATTCCACCTCCGATTTGATATTATTGAATTCTTCAGTAGCTTCCTCACACTTAGCATCTCTTTCTTTCTCTAACAACTTTTTACACTCGTCCAACTGTTGTGCTGGGAAAGGCAGAATATGCTATCAGCTCAACAGGCATTCATTCAAAATAAAAAGGAAACCAAATTAACTCAATTTTCACAGGAACATACCTTTCACTTGCAACTCAACAAGTTTGGCACCAAGTGACTTATCCATCAGTTCATCATAACCGAGCTTAGCTTTTAAGGCCTTATAGTCCTTTTCAATTGATTTCGCAGAATTTACCTATCAAAAGTTTCAATTACACCTCAAGGGTTCTGGAATCATGTATTTACTGACAACATTCAAAAGCTTTACGGAATGGCAAAAGGATAATAAATATGTCATCCAAACTACTAGGTTACTGATATTACAGTAAGATACTGTTTCCCTCTTTGTGATCATAGAGTATTCTAAATGAAGCTGCTAGAACAGAATATTAAATTTCAGAGGGCAGAAAAGTTTACATGTTCTCACCTGTTCATGAATTGCCTGCATCTGATTGAAGTGCTTTGACATTTTCTTAGAAGCCTGAGAGTAGAACATAAAGAAACTAGTAAGATTTTATGCATCGCTGATTATAAGACTAAGATTCCAGTAAAACTTTATGTGTAGCTTATTATCAAACAGGCCAAACACAGGAAACACCATCCAATTAAACCAGATTTGAAAAAATAAAATAAGAAGTGTACTGCTAAAACTTGAAAAGAAAAAATCTCATTGTTTGATAAGCATTCAAGAACTGACTCCCATTTGGTATTTGAAGAAGAAATAAATAATATATTTTTTATTTGAACAAAGCCTCCAGAGCTCAAATTTTTAATGCCATTCAAAACCATTCATCCATGAAATATCAAATTTTAGAGTCTACCTCAAGCAATTTCATAATAATTACAATCTAAAATTCAGAAACTTCTAGGAAAACAAATATTAATTACAAATAATGCAAAGAAATTAGACTGCATTTTCATAATGTGTAAGCAAACTCCATAAAACCAGCCAAGCTCAGCAAACCCTGAAGGCAACATAGCAATTTATGAAAAAGTACCTTCGTATAAACCTCAAGGACATCAGTCTTAGCCTGAAAGGATTGCATTGCTAATCTTTCAGCATTTCTTGCATCTTGTCGAACTGATTTCTTCTCCTCCAAAGCCCTCTTTTAATACATGCAAGAATTATTTACATGTCAACAAGGAACCCAAAAGGAAAATAACAGAGCGCAAATAATGAAAAAGACACAACAATAGTGTAGGATGCATTAAGACAGAATAAACTTGAATACGGTTGAAGTTGAATAGTGTCTAAACTTGAATACAGTTGATGTTGAACATGAATTTCATTACAAAAGACATTAAGGGTGGTCAATAACCAAATACAATGAGACAGCATAAAGTAGGGTAATCAAAGTAAATTCAAGATCAAAAGGGGAACACTAAAACTCAAGGGTAGCCGATACAATGTACCCCAACACAAATATAGGCTACATACAATTTTCTATGAATTCATTAGAAAAAGCATCGAGACATGCACAATACAAAGAATACTTATCTGTGTTCGGTACAGAGGGATTCAAGATTCCAGGGAGAATAATTTCCTAAAAGATGCATAAAAATTGAAAATTTCAAGTTCCTTAGAAAAAAAGATACCTGCAGTTTATCTGGTGATTGAACAATTTTTGACTGTAAATTCGCATTTTCTTGAACACTTTGTACCAGGTCAAACTCGGCCCTTGAGATCTATAAAACAAAACAAGAGACGTGATATCAACAACATCTGTTATTTAACATATTCGGTCAGCTTCATTTCCTTTTATACTGTTATTCAATGTGTAATAGCGTTTCACATAAAAATCAGTAATAATGGTGTTATATAATTGCTGTTATTTCAAATACAACGTGTTATTTCCAAGAAAAGGGGCTTTGATAGTTTGACTTTTACTCTCTCTTTTATTGGTTTTTTCCGAGATTCCATTCATTCCAGCAATTCTAACTTTTAGTCACTGACCACAACACTCAAATAATTTTGTCTTTTGGAGCTCTCTAAAGTCTCAACTCTCTCTCATTGTTGAACACTCACGACCTCTTTCACACAATCACACTCACTTTAACTTGATCTATTAACCAAATCAAACAAAAAATTGAATTATTCGCTTGGAAAGTGATGATCCAACTTCTCTTTTTTTAACAATAAGAGATAATTTTTAAATCAAATTAATTTTTTAGTTTTTGTAATTGATTTTGAGTGAAATTTAATTATTATTTTTGTTGGTGGTATATTGGCATTTATGTTAAAT